CTGAATTGGATGTTTAGGAATAACGTGTGCAGAAATGTGGAAAAACTCGCTGTACACGGCCAACGAGATCAACCCATATTTGATTTTCATTTACTCATCGCAAAAAGTGCAGAAATTGAGAATTGAGTAAATTTGCTTCATGTTCAAAATATGATAACGGCAGCCCTACTTTTGCTCAATAAAACAGATGAAATTATCCTTAATAATTAAAAAAATCTCCTTAAAATAGATCGGGTTGCTCCTTAAATGATTGATTAAAATACGTTAAAAATCCTAAAATGCCCAGTAAATATTTAAAGTACGCTCCCTAAAATAGAGACAACTGTACATTAAGCATTTGAAAATGCTCCTTAGTATGCACCGCTTTGCACCATTTTGAAGTGTAATTGTACCATATATCATCGGAAAAGCTGCTGTAGAAAGGTTAATAAGTACCATGAAATCAGCTGAAATGTTCAGTAAAAATGCACAAATGCACACAATTGTTTGTTATTTGTTTATTTAATAATTCAACTGACAATTAATGTCTTAATGAATAAAACTTAATCTAAATAGTTATGGTCAACGAAACGAAAACGGTCAAGTAACCGGGGACGAAACACATTTGCTGATACGTTAAAGTCAAATTCGCAATAAAAGTAGTTAAATTGTCGGCTGATTGCACGAATTGGTTCATTCTGCGTATAATTTCTGCCTCGTGGCTCCAAAAACAGAAATTCGCGTTGACGAAGAGGTCTCTCAGGAGCATACATATTTAGCTGGGCCAGCAACGTTGGACAGTCGATGTCACCCGTGAGAAGCTTTCCAGCAAACATAGCTTGAGCGACCGTCCGTCGCACCACTAGCGGTTCGATGCCCAGAAGACGGCAACGCTCCTCGTACGGTGGCAGGTTCGATGAGTCACGCCAGTTCAAGAAACGAAGAGCATATCTCACAAACTTTCGTTGAACAGATTCGAATCTAGCGATCCAAGTGGCTTGGAAAGGGCACCATACAACTGCACTTGATTCTAATATAGACCGCACAAGTGAGCAGTAAAGTGATCTGAGGCATAACGGGTCCCGGAAGGGATTTTGAAGGTGAGCCCGCAGTCCAGAGTAACACCGAGATCCTTTATTTGTTCTACACGGGCAATGCAACGTCCAAAGAGCACATAGTCAAACATAATTGGTTCGTTTTTACGGTGATAGGAGATGACGTTGCATTTTTCGATGCTCAGGCCCATCAAATTTCTCGTGCACCAGTCAGCGAAAATACATAGCATATGCTGAAGATCCCAACAGTCCGAGAGGCTTTTGATAATTTTGTAGATTTTGGCGTCATCTGCGTAGAAAAGACGGCATCCAGATGGTAACAACAGAGCGATATCGTTTAAAAAGATCGAAAACAGTAGAGGTCCCGGGTTGCTGCCTTGCGGGACTCCCGAGTTGTTTGAGAAAACATTTGATTCCGTCGCGCCAATCTTGACTCGTACAGAGCGATTCACTAAGTACGATCTGAACCATTTCACAGCCGTAGACGAGATACCTAGTATCTCCAACTTAGCAAGCAGGATTTCATGATCCACCCTGTCAAAAGCGGCTTTTCAGTCCATGTATGCAGCATCAACTTGTCATCCAGCATCCAAGCTTCGCAGACAGTCAGAGGTAAACTGCACGAGGTTCGTGGAAACCGATCGCTTGGGGTAAAAACCATATAGGTCCGTATCGATATAATTTTTACAGCACATAAACAGAGAATCATTTACAATAATCTCGAAAAGTTTAGAGCAGGCGCACATGGAGGAAATCTGTCTCCTTTTTTGTGAATTGGAAACAGATAGGAAAGCTTCCAGCGGGAGGGGAATTCACTTTGCTGTGGCGAGAAATTAAAAAGTCGCGCAAGTGGAAGGCAGAGGTTGACTGCACATTGTTTTAAAACTGACGAGGGAATTCCGTCAGGACCAGCGGCGAATGAGTTCTTCATTTTGCGTGTTGCGGCTATCACCTTGTCTTCCTACAGGTGAGAATCGATTCTAATACCTATGTTACGCTAGTAACAAAGGTAATACCGTGCTTAAATGTTACCGGCAAACACTAACGTTGGATTGCGCAAAACAAAACAAACGTAGAAGTGGAACATATGACCGGAAATTATTAGCAAAGATCATTAGGGCAGTCATAAATAATCTTGGGATCTCCGAACGTGATTTGGCACAGATTCAGTGTGGCGCACAGGGTGCAGTTGGTATTTTTGCATAAAATGATGTTTGTAATAATAATGTATTTAAAAATACTAATTTTAATTAAATTGCTTTTTATTAATTTTCTTTCAAATAAAACTGTATTTTTAAAGAGTTTCATTCATACAATTCACCTTCATTTTCGATAAATGTTGCCAGACGCATGCGGAAACTACTGCAGGCACGTCTTAACACCATCGCTGGCTCTAAAGAAGCAATCACCTGCTTTATTTTTCATTTTAGCGAACCAATTGTTGTGCGATGGGCTCTATTGGTACCCCGATCTACGATGCCACGCACAAAGTAGTCCAGAGGATTGATATCGGGACTGCTGGGTGGCCTAACTTCTTTATCCCATAGCTCTGGAACATTTTCCGTAAGCCATTTCTGCGTTTTCTTGCTGGAAGATAAAAGGACGGTCAGCAGCTATCTTCTTCATCCACGGTACAAGAACATTCTTCAAAACGTCCAACTTTCAAGTAGTTCTGAGGAGTTAAGGAATATTCCTAGAATTTCAGGAATGTTACTAAAACTTCAAGGACATGTCGGGATCTTCCGCATTATTAGAAAGTTCAGGGAAGCACCGAAAACTTCAGGAAAACCCATAGAAGTTCGAAGAAAATTAGTGGAAAGTTACACGAGCTTCAAAAAAGTATTCAAAACTTCATGAAAATTAAAGGAACTTCGAGGAAGATCTAGGAACTTCATGGTAATTCAATTCAATTCAGAAGAATAGTGGGATCTTTCATAAAATACTATTGGTACATTTATTGGTAGTCTAACGAACTTTAAAGAAGCTCAGACCAGCGGCGCAGGTGGTGAGTGGTAAGCGTGACTGCCTCTTAACCCAAAGGGCCTGAGTTCAATCCCAGTCGGTGCCGTTTGGAATTTCTGAGGCATAAAATCTCCGAAGTAAAGCCGTTGGTCCCCGTTCCATGAGTTGATGGGTCGATAGGTAGGGTCCAGGGTGGGAGCTAACTAACTACCTGACGTCGTTAGCATTGGTACTCATTACGGAAAACAGGATCGACGGAAAACTAATCAAGGAAAACAAAGTTCAGAGATATTTTGGGCAGTTTAAATAGCATCAGGAAAACACGTAAATCATCAGGAAAGTCTAGACATTTGGGGAAGTTCTATGATATTGATTAGATCCGATAAAGTATTGGCAGTTCCATCAATTTATTTTGAACATAATTAAAAATCTAAGATCTTCATACGTTATTTTGCTTTAGTTTCAGGAAATTTGAGGGAAGTTCAAAGAGCTCCAGTGAAGTTATGGATTTTCAGAGAATCTTTGAAAACACAGGAGTCCAACGAACTTCGGAAACTTCATAGAAAATATTAGGAAAACTCCTAGAATTTCAAGAAAATTTGATGAAAAGAAGCTATGTAAGCTTCAGGGCAGTTTCTGGAGTTGGAAAAAATTCAAGGAAAATGATTGTAGTTCCATTAATTTCAGGAAACTATCGGAAAATCTGGAGATACTCCCACATTTGCAAGTAGTCCACAATACTTCAGAGATGCGAAAACTTCATACAATTTTTGAAAGCTCCACCGAAGTTCCAGAGGTTGTGAATGAAGCTTAGGGCTTCATAGGCACGATACACAAATTGCGTATCGCAAAAAATCTGGAATCTGGAACCTTACCCTCCTCCCCTATGTTACAATGAGTAACGCTTGATAAGACTCCTCTCCTCAAATAACGTAACGCTAGGTCACCCAACCCCCTCCCCGTTTTTCCTTTATTTTTCATTTGTTATTCTTTTATGTAATATTTTTCATTACCCCATCCCCCTCCATGCGATAAACAATTTGTGAACGGAGCCTTAGGACTATTCTATTCAGTTTAAGGCAGTACTAAGAGCTTCAGAAGAATTTAAAGAATTCTAAGGAAGGTCTGCAAATTTTAGGGAAGATCAGATATCATAGGCAGTTCCATAAGTTTCAGGGAAATTTAGATTTTAAATAACTTACGAGAAATTCTGCGAAATTGTTAAAATTTCTGGAACTTTTTTGAAATCCTGAAAATGTTCTGGATCTCTTACGAAGTCCAGAGATGCTCAAAAAAATCTAAATATTTTAAGAGAAGTTCCGTGAGCATCCGGGTAGGTTCGAAACCTGCAAGGCAGTACGAAGCACGTGACAAAAATTCACGTAAGCTTACCCGTTAATCATTAGGGCGGAAAGCTATGACGATGGGAATAAAAAAATCATTTTTTTTTTCTATATAAACTTCAGTTCAGTGTTATCGCAAAAAAAAATGAGCTCAAATTTTGGGAGAACTATCAGGACCTGATTTGAAAAGGTGTAGCTCTACGAGAAAGCAAAAATAGAACTTGTAAGATATTGCCGAAAAACGGTACGCTTCCTCTTAATCTTGCAAGAAATGACACACTTCCGTTCCCGTAACATCTTGCATATCCTCTTTCGAAAAAATCGAAAAGTTTTCTGTCCTAAATAATTCAGTGTTTTGATAATTGTGTTGTTAATTACAGTCCATCCATCACGTTCATTATATGGAAGGAATCGACCACTGCAGCGGATAGAGTCCCAACAATTTTCATTTCATTACTAATATACCTAAACACCAATAGCAGAAGATATATGATTATTCGATACCATCAAATTCACTTATACAGTCAAATCCTCTGAATGTCGTCAAAATTATCACCTCAAGGTGTATTTCACTGTATCCTCTTCATCTTCGCTTTTCACCTCGAAGAGAACCCCGCTAATTAAACCAACGAAAGAGTGACCGATCCAAAACAAAACTCACTTCACTACTGTCACACAACGGGAAACCTTTCACTAATTAGGTCACCGAGCCCCTGCTTCATCTGAATACACACAAATCCTTCCTTTCTTATCTGCCTTTCACAAAACTGGTCTGGCTCATTCGGTTCCTTCACTCAAAACACTTTCAGTTGTTGTCATTTGCCTCCGAATGGCTTCCGTCACAATCCACAACGCGACTGGAACTGTAGAGTTTGAATCCAACTTCGAGTCACCTTCTCCATCTAGTAGGCATGATCGTAGTAGGCCCCAAGATGGGAGATGGTGGGAGTTACAAAGTTACAGCAAGTTTCAACAATTCCACCCAGGTTGTTTATTTGCTGGTGACAATATTTATTTCCAATCGCACGCTGCCTGGCGGTTTTTCGCACTTCCTTCGAAACTGATAAAAACCACACCGAAATCTACCATTGATTGGAAGTATGCACGATTGAGTCAACCGTGCACCTAACCACGACGATGCATATTTTTTTTTCTTTTCTTCTTTACATCAAAAGCATTATTTCGAAAAATGTCTTCAAGTGTTAGCACCTCTCGACACCAGCGAGTGTGGTTCGTTGAAATCGTTTCGTTTCTTCTCGCTTCACTAGGCTCGCGACTAAAGGGTGAAATTTCACTCGTTTCCCACCCATCGACGTCGGCCACAATCTAAGCGAAGTCGCGCGCGCACCTTAAGATTATGTAAATTGCTAAGTACGAAAAATACGAATTTTCGCAACGTCTCTATGACCACAGTCCGCCGTCATACGGTTGCAGCTCCGATTCGATTCGGCAACGGTAAACCGAGCAAAAAGCCACTTCCAACCACCCCGAAGCCTGTTAGCAAATTCTGTTATGATATCATGACAAATTGCGTGCAAAATACGATCACACTATTACACGCCAGCCGGATTGAAACCACATTCAGCAAACTGCAATTTTCCCAATTGAATCGGGGTCCCCTGGGGGATTACCGTAATTTAAACCCAAGGCCTTCGATAACACCCCTACCGGGAGAGTACAACACTCGTGAACCAGCACGATACACTCCGGATACCGAGACCTTGACAATGCGACTAAATCCGATGTACTGATCGTGGTAGCAGGGGCCACCCGGAGTCACAGCCTTCGAGCGGACTTTCTTCCCCCCCTGTCCGATACGCCGAAAATGTATACTCGAACGCACTCGCTCACCGGTTCATCCGTTATGCGATCGGAGATACCCTACACTTTCGATTTCATACTATACTGCCCACTAGACCATCATCGGGTTGACTCTCTGACGCGAGCGGAAACCACTTTCATTTTCATTTGCTCGAAAGAGGCAGGGCCCGGGCACCTGATGATTTTTGGTGCTCTTCGCGAAGACGGACCCAACGAAACGATCGCGATGAACGTGATAACGGGCTAGATTAGGTAGCATTATTGCCGTTGAGAAGTCTTTCAAGTGAATAGGGGGGAAAAGAGAAGCATCGAGTGGCCTCTCACTTTCTACGAGAGCGCGTTGAGAGTAATCAAACTATGGGCCAAGGTTTCTGCTGGATGTACAGTGTATCTCACTATTGAGCGTGCAGATGTCCTTAATTTTTTTGAAAAACAGCAGTTGTAAAGGCTCAATTTAAAGATATACGTTTCTGAATTCGTTGCTGAATCATCATACAGCGTTTATTAAATTTAAGAGCTATTAGAGAAAAACGATTTTTTCTTGAAATACCTTAATATCTTAGGATACAATGAACTACACTTCTTGAAATTTTGCACATTTTTAGTTATAATAAAGATCATTAATATTACACTATTTTTTTTCTAAAATTCGTCCATTCGAGCATTTTATAAAATAAATCTAACTTCATACAGGTTCTTCCAATAAAGTCCAAAACTATAGCAAAAAAAAACAATAAATATCCTTTTAACAACCAGCCAAGATTTTACAATGTTTAAAAAAATCCACTAGGGTGTACGTTCAATGTTGCGATACACTGTAGGTAAATATTACGGTAAAGTTATGAGCATACATTGAAATAGGTCGGTTCCTGTACTTGCTTTTTAGCTTTTGCTGTAAGTTGCAGCAGTTTTATGTAAGTTTATGTAAAAAATAATATGGGGGTGGAACATACTTTTGATTTTCTGTACAGAATCTTACAGAAAAGCAAATACGGGAACACACCTAATAAAACATTATAAAATTTCAAAATTATAGGGCAAGTGCACCAATTATGGCACTCCTGAATTTTTCTCCAGTTTTGGAATATACCAGTCATGGCCCATGTGATTGAAATAGGTAAGACCAAAACTGGTACTATTGCGTATACCTGATTGTGCCATAACTGCCTTTTTAACCTACAAATGTGTAAGCAAAGACTTAATAATTAATAGGTTCCCGTACTTTTTTCTTCTACTGTAAGTTGCCGTAAGAAAATAATACAGGAATCTCCGATGTACGCGATGGGTGGTACCGTCTACCCACTGCTATTTCTCAACAGTCTTTCAACCAATTGAGCTGAAACGGTCACCTAAGGGGAAGCTCACCGGCCCAAAAATAAAAAAAATATTTTCGGTACGTTTTTATTTTTCTAAAAATATTGGGAAAAATTATCAAAAATCCAAGAAAATCAGTTTCTTCCTTAGATTTTTGTCAAAAATTACATGCAAAAAATTTTTTTTCTATCCCATCATGAAAAAAAATGGACTCTCAGAAAAACCGAAAAGTTGATGTTTTGTGGTTTTTTGAGTCCAAATTTATGCCATAATGACTTATAAAACATGTTTTTGCCCGTGAATTTTCTTTAAAAAGTTAGAAAAAATGTGATTTTTTTAGATTTTTGATACTTTTTTTCAATATTTTTAGAAAAATCAAAACGTAATTTTTTTTTTCGGAGCGGTCTGCTTCCCCTTAATGACAAAAATAAAAAAAAATACGGTTCTAATATTTTTCGATAAGGAACAATCGCAACCAAATTTTACGAAATTCTGAGAACCACTATATCGTTTTGCTGTGGAATGGCTGTATGAGGAAATAAGACAAATCGACAGTGAGCATTCATAAGGGCGTATACGCGATGATCGATTCTCTTCATCGATTTTCTCTTTTCTTAATAACTCGCTAGATTTAACGTTTGTCGGTGCGTTTGTTGTTGCTTTTGAAAGCCAATACAACCTATTACAACTCTACATTTAACAAATTCTACAAAATTGTTTTCGCTTAGCTGTAGCAATGCAAAGAGAAAAACGATGAAGAGAATCGATCATCGCGTATACGCCCTTATGCATGCTCACTGTCGAAATAATGTAAATATGAATTTATTATTTTTGTACACATATTCCAAACATTTTATATTTGTATTTAAACACTCAAAACGGATTTTTCTCAGAATGAGTTCCATTCTGACAGCACTATCGTGTTCTCCATCCTTTTTTGTATTAAAAACTATGTTTTTTTTACGAAAATCTAAGATCCACTACATCGTTTTGCTATGGCTGTTTATTTAAGCTTTATTTGTTTCGAAGATATTGATAAAACAAAGTAGGTGCTTCTTGAAAATCACGAAAAATATAAAATGCTCCCCTGGATCACGGGGTGCTTCGATTGGCACAGAAATTGTTATTCATAAAACCAGATCAAAATAAACCTCTCCTCCAAATTTGGTTCCAATCGGAACAAGGTCAATTTCACGTTCCTTGGACACTTGGACCCATACATTGATTTGTTGACTACGTTCCAGTTGAAATGAGTATATTTCAATTTGACGTAAGCTTGATCTGCTTTCGGGGCGTCATTATATTTGAATAGCTTTTTATCCTCACGTATAATCGTAGCGTAGCGTGTTGTGATGTATTTTTTTTTTTTTTACGTAAACGTCTTACGAGAAGGTACTGGGGGTGAATCGAAAATCTGAAATTGCGACCAACACGAAAAGGTGTAAGGTTTTGAATGCTTATAACTGTGTCATTTATAGATGAAATTTAAATCCTAATGCACCAATCGATAGGAAATAACTCTCACAATCTGCTACAATAAATTCTTCTCCAATTTACTCAAAAACTATCGTTGAAAAATGTACAATTAAAAAGTGATAATTTTATCACTGTTTCAATGAAATAAACGTTCTCCTCAAACCAAGTCGTCATAATCGAGTACCATTTGGTTGCGTGTCGTTTTACTTGAACCTTTTTATATAAGAACTCTGCTGTCGTTCCTCCGCTCATTAAAGCTTTAGACGGCGTGGCAATCAGAAGCTGGAGCAAATCTGGAAAAGGTGAAATTTTTCTCTCTGTCTCTGCTGAACATTACCGCAGTCAGGCTAGAGCGCTGCTGTTGTGATTCCGCTCATTTTCGCATCGGACGGACGGTGTGGTAAAATTGCAGCAGTCAGCGACTTGATGACAACCAACGATGTGGAATTTGTTGAGATCGAACAATTGGTCCTTTTCAGGACCACACATATTTTACAGAAAGAGTTATTGCGACTGTTTTCGGTCCCGTTAAAATAATATGAAACGCGACAAATGCTATTTTTATATAACAAACCCATCTTCCCATAACGACAATCTAAAAAGAATAGACGTTGATTTTTTCACCCGCCAAACAAGCCAAAAATTCAAATTGAGAGAAAATTTGCATGTCATGTATACTGTACCTCTCACAGCTACAAAATAGTGTAAAACATGTCTGGTATCTCTTTAAATACAATTAGATTAACATTTGAAGTCCATCCTTTTCACATATTCTGCTCAAAAGATGCTTTCTGTCAAGCTCCATTCATAAAAAAAACAACGGAAAATCCTGTCAGGGGCAGGACTTAGAAAGTAGTTTTTGTGCAGAATATGTAAAAAAAGGAGAGACTTCGGATAATGTATACAAATTACAGATGCATTACTGTAAGAACTGTCAAAATCCTATGAATTTAAACGCTAGTGTTCGTGAGATTTAGCTTGGCGAACTGAATTTTGATGATTTTGGGTCGTCCTTGTGTTGAAGTGGGATCCAGAGGGACGGTAAAAAATCAATTACATCTTTAAGCAGAGCTTTACATTGTTGTTTGTTACAAAATTCATGCACCAAGTGGATTAGCGAGTTTCTGGGTGGTGCTGTGTTTAGCTCGGTCCAACAAAAATTAATCCTCTGAAAATGGGTAGGAGCGTCTTTGTGTAAATGTAAGAATGGCAAAAATTTAAGAGATATATTTCAGAATACTTGTAGTTCTAGTTCCTCATTATATGCTTAAGAGGCGGATAAATTCCTACGT